AACTTCCTTTCCTAGCTCTCCTGCTCCTTGCTGAAGATGCAGCCAGGGCAGCCCTGGACCCAGCAGGAAGATGGATGCCCTGCACAGAGCTGTGTCTGAAGGAAGAGAATGCATCCTACAGCTGTGGACGTGGCCTTTAGCCACTTCTACCTGTCTGACCGCCCTGGTTGAGACCCTCCTCACTGGCCTCTTAGAGGGTCCAATAACCTGGACCCTTCCTGAGGCCGCCAGACCTGCACAGTCCAACCCATTCTACACACCTAACAGCCACAGGCACCATAACAGGTAAATTGGACCACACACTGCCCCTGCTCACTGGCCCCTCATCTCCTAAGGGATACATCCTAAGCCCCTTTGAGAGCTTTCCACATGTTGGAATGGCCAGGGAGGCTTATACGAAGGGCAGCAGCCTGGGCTCCTCTCTCAGAGATGCAGACAGTCTGGGGTGGAGCCCAGGAACCTGCAGATCCACAAGCTCCAGCGACGCTGATCAAAAGGTGCGGAAACAGGCTTGGAGAAAACTCCTCTTGTGTTTTTAGCTGTTTTTTTCCCTCCCTCTGGCAGCCCCTGAGACAGTGTTTCTGCAGCTCTTCGAAGGACAAGCCCTCTCCCAATTTCTGTTGCTCTGAAGGCAAGTGGTTCTGCCCCATCCATTTCCAACTGTCCCCAGGCTGCTGGATGTCACATGACGTTGGGGCTGATCTTCCTGTGAAGCTGGAAAGCACTCCTAGGGGATCCCCGCTTCCCCTGGTAGTAAGTGCAGCTGAGTTTGCGATTCCCTACCCTCTGGGCCTTGGGCTGCTGGCGAACCTTTGGTACTTGAACAAACTGCCTTTGCATTTTGTTGCTCTACAACTGGGAGCTCTTAAATCCTACAATTGAAGAGGGCGAACATCTGTTTCTCTGGGATTGCTGCCAAAAGGGAGAAGCAGCCCCTCTCTCTTTCCCGCCCAGTCCCTGTCCAGTCATTCCGCAGAGAGGAGAGACACCTGCAATTCACTCAACAGATATTTCTTGAGAACCTACTATGTGCCAGGCATATTCATCCATCCATCCCTCCAACTGTCCAGTCCTTCCTCCTTCCCCATCCATCTCTCCATTCATCCACTCAGTCTTCCATCCATCCATCCATCCCTCCATCCACCCATACATCCCTTCATCCCTTCCATCCAACCTTTCCATCCATCCATCCATTCATCCTTCCCTCCATCCATCCATCCGCCCAACCCCTCATCCATCCCTCCATCCATTCATCCTTCCCTCCATCCATTCATCACCTATTCATCCATCTATCCCTTCATACAGTGATCTCAGCGTCCAGTTTGAGAACCTACAATGCCAGCATTGAGCACCTACTATGGACACGAGTCCCACACTCCGAGAGTTCTCGACAGTATGCTGAACCCTGTCCCTGTTGACAGGAGAAGTCAGTACGGATGTATGAACCGTTCACACTGCCACACAGCTGTACTGAGAGTGGGGCACAAGGATCAGCTGAATGACTGACAAGTGCAGGATCCAGAGGTGGAGGGTCCTGCCTAGAGGAGGAGGGGTGGGAGCTGGGCTGTGAAGGGTGAGCAGCATGTGGAAGATAAGGAGACCAGCAGACCGAGGGCCTAGAGGTCAGAAGGTGCGCTACGTGGTAAGAGGCAGGTTGGCTTGGCTGGAAGGGTGGTTGCTTGTGACATAGAAAGGCCAGAAAGGCATCTGCCCGAGTCAGAGGGGTTTTGGCAAAGTCAGGCTGAGGAGACTGGGTATGTCCTTCTGAGGCCAGGGTGGCTGCATCCAGGATTGTCAGACTGAACCCAACCCTCACTGCCACCACCTTGTTGCTGTCGGGTCAACTCTGACTCATGGTGACCCCGTGTGCATCAAACTAGAACTGGGCTCCACAGGAATTTCAGTGGGCAATTTTTCCAACATAGATTGCCAGGCCCTTCTTCCAAGGTGCCTCTGGGTGGACTTCAATCCCCAACCTTTCAGTTAGCAGCTAAGCACATTAATCATTTGCACCCCAGGGACTCCTAAAATTAAGCTTCTACCAATTAACTTTTCCCACCGTTAAAACCCAGACACATCTAGAGTTGTAGAAACTTGGTTTGGCTGCTTTAAAAGGCTCTCTGACACAATTAAGGAGCCCTGGTGATGTAAGAAGGAGCTCTGGTGGTGCAATCGTTAAGGCATTTAGCTGCTATCTAAAAGGTCAGTGGTTCAAACCCACTAGCTGCTCCACAGAGGAAAAATGGGATAATCTGCTGCCACAACAATTTACAACCTTGGGAACCCAATGGGGGTTGCTGTAAGTCAGAATCAACTTGATGGCAGTGGGTTTGGGGGGTTGTTTTGGAGGGGGGGGTGATTAATAGCTAAGTACTTGGCTGCTAAATAAAAGGTCAGTGGTTCAAGTCCACCAGCCACTCTGAGGCAGAAAAGATCCGACAATCCGCTTCTGTACTGATTTTAGCCTAGGAAGCCCTATGGGGACATCCTCCTCTTAACTACAGGATCACTAGAAGTTGAAATCAGTTCGATGGCACACGACACATGCACAAGCACACACACTAATTCAATCAGGGTCTTCTGTGATCTCCCGGACGACAGGGACTGTTGGTGTATTGTCTCGTGTACCCCCAGCCCCCACAGGAAGGCGCTCAACCTGGACCTAATGAAGGAAGGACAGTGAGCCCCCAGACTCACCGTATCCTGTAATAATGAGCACAAAGCAATTACATCCTGTTGTGCAGTTATTAAGCCCTGGTGGCAGAAGTAGTTAAGCTCTCAGCTGCCACTCAGAAGGTCAATGGTTCAAACACACCAGCTGCTCTGAGGGAGAAAAATGAGGCAGCTTGCTTCCATAAAGACTTACAGCCTTGGAACCCTATGGGACAGTTCTGTCCTATACGGTCACCATGAATCCGAATCATCTTGATGGCATTAGGTTTGGTTTTGATTTGGGTGTGCTTCGTAAATTAGAAGGAAACAAATATAATAAAATGTAGACATTTGTAAAGAGGTTACAAATAAAAGTGGAGGATAAAAGATAAAATTGGTAACCACAGGCTTCCCAGAGCCTCCCTGTAAAGACATCTCTTTGCATCCATGATTAAAACAAAACCCAAATTCACTGCCATTGAGTCGATTCTGACTCATAGTGGCACCCTCTGGGCTTCTGAGGTGGTAAATCTTTATGGAAGTAGATTGCCCAGTCTTCCTTCTGCAGAGTGCCTGGTGGGTTTGAACAGCCAACCTTCTGGTTAGCAGTCAAATGCCTTAGGCACTATGTGCTCAAGCAAACAACACCAGGCATGGATGGATAGAGGCTGGAAGAACCAGAGAAGCAAAGCCAGCCAGCTTGTTGTGTGGGGGCTGGCCTGGGTGTCTGTGGGAGGCCTCATGAAGATGCGGTCAGGAGCTCGGGTGCGGAATTGGAAACCTGGGTTCCAATTCGTGACCTCTCCCAGCTCTGACCTTGGACAAGGTGCTTCAGGAGCCTGTGGTCTCCACAGCGTCGGGAAGATGCCATCACAAGAGCCTCCTCTCACAGGTGGGCCTCCTCTCACAGGTACTCAGAGGGGTAAGGTGCTCAGCTCAGAACCTGCTGAGGAAAGTGCTCGTAAAAGGCCAGCTACCGGAAATATTGGGAGCTCTGGTGGCGTAGTGCCTAAGGCACTTGACTGCTAACCAGAAGGCTGGAGGTTCAAACCCACCAGCCACTCCTCGGAAGGAAGGTTGGGCAATCTACTTCCGTAGTGATACTGCCCTGGAAACCCAAGGAGGGGTCACTATGAGTCCGGTCCAACTCTACGGCACATAACAACAACAACAATGCAAATATTCATTTATTTTTAATCTACACCAATGCTTCTCCCCCACCCCACCCCGACCTCTGGGAAGAGCCTTGTCTTACTGATGGGTCACTGTCAGGCAGTTCAAAGCCACCTTAGACCAACCCTAACCTTAACCCTAACCCTCATTTATGCCAGGAACTCTCCCTGCAGACACAGCGAGTAGTCTTAGCATGTTTATGTGCCGTCGAGTCGGACCCGACTCATAGCGACCTCTCCTTGGGTTTCCGAGGCAGTATCACTACGGAGGTAGATTGCCCCATCTTCCTTCCGAGGAGTGGCTAGTGGGTTTGAAGCGCCAGCCTTCTGGTTAGCAGTCCAGTGCTTTAGGCACTATGCTACCAGAGCTCTTAGCATACGTGTTGTCAACTTCTACACCAATTCTTAAAGAAATGGGAAAACCGTTTGAGTGGACGAAGGAAAGCACACGGGCCTGCTGAGCACCGCCCACTAGGTTTTGGTCGAGGAACCAGAAAGACAGGTGAGCAAGAGTCCAAACCGTAGAGAGGAGCGTTCTTCAGTTAAATGAGAAACTCTGTGGGGACGCCCACACACAGGTGTCATGAGGTAAGAGATAGTATTAGCTCCGCCAGCTGCATCTGAAATAAAACCTAGAAAAGCCAAGCTGGGGGTATAAGGGGAGCTGAAGTGGAGCTGGAAAGAAACGGAGTGGGAGGGGAGGAGGGAGGAGATGAAGAGGAAGCAAAGAAGGAAAGACGGAGAGTAGGAAGGAGAGACGACAGGCAAAAGCGGAAGAGTGGACAGGAAGCAGGTCTGTGGAGCTGCGCCATTACGCTAGACCCCCAAGCCGGCTGGGGTGCTGAAATGGGAAGGGTGAACGCCTACATGAATCTTGGCCTGCTGCAGAGACCGTAGCCGGTTTCCTCCGTGGGAGGGTTTAACTGACCGGAACCGGAAGTCTCGGTCTCTTCCCTCCTTGTCGCTTCAAGCTCTTTTCTGTGAGTGTCTCCGGAGGTACTCGGGGACGAGGGAATAATCCGGGGCAATCGTCGGCTGGGTGAAACTTGGGGCCCTCAGACCTGGACCGGGGGTGCGGGGAAGGAAGGTGGGGTGCGATGGGTCCGGTATTTTGGAGGGAGAGAGGGAGGGGAAGCGGAGTCACTGTCGGTCTCCACGCTCTGTTAATGCCGGGGAATGTCTTTCTCTCAGGTGCCGGTCCGCGCCCGCTTCCTTGTGCCCTTCGTCGCCATGGTGAGTACGACTCCTGCCTAGAACCTCCGGGAAGGGGTGCGGGGCCCGGGAGCCAGGGCAGGATGGGCTTCCCTGGTCTCCGGAGGCCCAAGAGAGGTGGGGGACTTAACCGTCACCAGAGAAAGTGCGTTTCAGCTGCATAGTGTGTGATCTTAGCTGTGTGGCTCTCTGAAACGGCGAGACTAAAGAGAGGTAACAAGATCAAGGGTTGCCAGGGGATGAGAGGTGGCCCACAGGGCGTTTTTAAGGCCGCGAAACGAGTCTGCGTGGTTCTGCGATGGTGGATACAGGGCGTTTATCCGTTGGTCAGAACGTAGAACTGGGCATAGAACAAGCGTGACCTCCAAACTGAGGTTGAATTGTTTGTAGTGTGTGGATACTGGTTCGTCCAGCAGTGGATTCCAACACGCCAACCACCACCGGCCACTACTCTCTTGTGCATGAGGCCCCGGTCAGTTGGAGTCGGCTGACGACGGGTCCGTAACCGCTGCCTACCCCGGTGCCCGCTGTTATGACGGCAGAGAGCGTTCGGAAACTTGGCTCTGCTCAGTTTTTCTTGTCAACCTGACGCTGCTCTAAAAAAAAGTCATTCTCTTTGTTTTTTTAAAGAGCTCATCCCAGCAGTTAATTCTCTAATCCTTTTGTGTTGCAGCCTCGCAAAATTGAGGAAATCAAGGACTTTCTGCTCACTGCCAGGCGGAAGGATGCCAAATGTGAGTGTCCCTGTTGTGTCCCTGACCTGGGAACCTCTCCTGAGAGTACCTTTCCCAGGATGTCAGTCAGGACGGTTGTTGTCACTGTTCACAGCAGGAAGAGTGAAGACTTTCTTAGCTCATGGCAGTGTCTTGAAGACGCTTTCCAGTTCATTCTCATTGTGTCGTGTATACAGTAGGTGCTCTCTGCATGGAAGACTTAGTGGATGAGAGTCTGGAAACATCCCATGAACACGGAGTTAGTGCTACACGTGGACTGGGGCAGTCCTTGCTCACAGTGTACCGTCTCCTGAGTGATTTCATTTATATACGTTACTGTCTCCAAGCCTGAAAGTTAAAAAAAGAAGAAGAAAGCTAGCGATTTCTAGTGGCGTAGTGCCTAAGGCATTTGACTGCTAACCAAAAGGCTGATGGTTCAAACCTACCAGCCACTCCTAGAAGGAAGACTGGGCAGTCTACTTCTGTAGTGATCAAAAAAACCCAAACTAAACTCAACAGCCATCGAACAACACCTCCTTGGGTTTCCAAGGCCACCAGGGTTCCTTCTGTAGAGGTACTGCCTTAGAAACCCAAGGAGGGGACCAGGCAGTGTTTGGTGCTGCTGTACATAGGACTGCTCGCTGTGTGTTGGAGATGACTCAGCGGCACCTAACAATGAAAGTAGCCTATCACTAAACAGAAAAAGAAGTGATAGATCAAAAACCTTAAACAGCAGGCTGCCCACACTTTATCATTTTTTTACACCAAGCAGGGGAGGGGGTCTGAGGGGGTTTGAGAGTGTAAGATCCAGCTTGATTACCCTGCTCTTTCTTTTTTTTATTCCTTTTCTTTTTTCCCCTGCTGCCCCAGCTTTCTACTTCCTTTCCCTCAGGTTTGTTGTAAAGAGAACATCAGATAATTTTTGAAAGTAGAACAGCATTGGGCTGATGTCCTAAGGTGGGCTCAGGTCTGGCTAAGAGAAGCTGTTTCTAGTGCTCTGTGCCAGTGGTAGGACCACACAGTGAGGTGTAGACCAACCCTTGGAAGCCATCCAGAGGGATGTGAAATGGGGGTGGAAGACGGTCGTGTTTGTGTCCCCACTGCCTGAACCAGGCTATTGACTCTCGTACAACTACCATCTGCCCTGGCTGATGTGAGGGTCCCAGGTGTGTGCTCTGGGTCTCATCATGCTTCACAGAGATGGGATTACCTTGTCCGTTTGAGGTCAGACCTCACAGTATGTCAATTGCCTGGCTCAGATCTCACTCACCAGTCTCCTTCCATTTAAAATGAAGTCTGTCTTGTGGTGATTGGTGTGAGGATCGAGTCAGATGATCTTGAAGCTCTTAGCACAATGAATAAATGATACCAGTATCCATCAGATTCATTGGACTTAGTTTTTCTGGGCACCTCCTTTGTAATAAGCCCAGTTTCTAGACTGTGTTGTCTGGGAGGGCAGGATTGTGGTCCCCTGGGCATAGACATAGTAGGGTGTTCATTAAGTGCGTTGTTTATATCCTGCCTTACCAGTGTTCATCTTAGTCTGTAGAGTGACAGCTGCTGGGCCACCAACATAGGTGGGTGGCTTAGTTGTCTAGGGCTTCTGTAACAGACGTACCACAGGGAGGTGGCTTTAACAAACAAATGGATCCCCTCACAGTTGAAGCTGGAAGTGTGGATTCAGGGCACCAGCTCTAGAAGAAGGCCCTCTCCCCTCTCCCCTCTCCCCTCTCCCTTCTCCCTTCTCCCTCTAATACTAACCTCCCAAACCACTAGGAATTGTGCCTGGGTTGACACATTTGGAGGACCTGGTTCAGGCTATGATAGATGGCCTGAATGAATGCCCAGTTTTCTGATTTGTTAGAAACTTGACTCTGGGCAGCCAGGGCCTCAGGCAGGCTCAGCCACAGCACTCCTGCCTCTTAGGATGGGCCTTGTCCCTTTAGTGGCTCTGGGCAGAAATACAGTTATAGCTGGTGACTGCATGGTAGTCAGGTGCTACTTCTGGGAGGTGCTAGAAGTTGTGTGTGGCGTCTGCTTAGGTGCTGGCATCAAGAGCTCATGGCCAGTCATTAAACCTACTGCTGTGGGGTCAGTTCTGACTCAACAGCAACCCTCGTAGCCTTTCCAAGGCTGTCATCTTGACAGAAGCAGCCTCCCTCATCTTTCTCCTGCAGAACGGCTGGTGGGTTTGAACCGATGACCTTTTCGTTAGCTGAATGTTTTAACCATTGTGTCAGAGGCCACCTGTTTTTCTGCTGACAATTCGCTGCTTCTGTAACAAGTTCTTGGCAATGTCTGGGGTCTTTTTTAAGAATGGGTTTGACGAGGCTGTGTCGGGAAGTGGGTGTCTCCTAGCAGCTGTGCCCCTGCTGGCAGGTAGAAGTACGGCAGGTACGGACTGGGTTTGGTTGGGTTGGTTTAGGGACTCCTCTGAGCTGTGGTCTCCAGATTGAATTTGGCAGCAGTAAAGAACCCAGAAAGTGGGCCTGGCAGTGAGTTTTCTAGGAAAAGCTTTGGTGCGTGCTTGCATCCCTGCTGGCGTGTCCAGTGGGGAGGGCCCCTGAAGGACGAGTGCAGCCCTAATGCCCTGGAATGCCTGGCCCACGAACAGCCTTCAGCCATTGTTAAAAATAAGGAAGATTCCCAGTTGTAGTGTTCAGGTACCAAACGCCTGCCTTGGAAGCATAAACCAGTGAAGACTGGGTATGCCCCAGGCCCTTAAATGCTGATAAAGGAGCTCTGGTGGAGTAG